AAAAAGCGTCTGGGCTTCCACGGAGATGTCAGAAGTCATCCATTCTTCCGGGAGATCAACTGGGATGACCTCCAGCAACGTACAATTCCCCCACCATTTCTAGCATTGGTAAGTGTGCGGACCTGAACCCTGATGTATGGCCTCACATATTCTTCCTCCCCTGCGATCACAGATACCAGAAAAGAGGACGGCCTCCTTTATCAAAGTGTGTCCAATAGAACAGTCTGTGCTACTAATGGCCACCACATGATCCCTTTTCTTTTCTGTCCTGCAGGGGAATTCTACTTTCTGAAATGTTATTCCTTCCCTCTTCTTTACTATATTTAATATTCTATTTCTTCTGCCTCCATCCAACAGCGAGGGACCAACCTGCACTCAACATCCTGGCCTCCCTCCACCAGACTGAACATCGGCACCATCCTGCAATGCCCAAGAAGATGGGACAGACAACGCTGGACTGCAGGTAACATGGACTGTATGTGAAGAGAAGATTAGAGGTTAGTTATATTGAAACATTAAAAAAGATATATACACAAAACAAACAAACAAAAAAAAAACCACAACAAAAAACTCCAAAAAAATTCCCCCGTCCCCCCCCAAAAAAGTACATAGGAAGTATAAATATTGGTTATAGATAACTTATATAGTATAAAATAGATGTTTGTTTGAAGTGATTTGTTGGCTTGTTTCTGTGCTATTTTTTAAAATGTCTTAAAACAAAGGCGAGTGCATGGCCGGCTATAAGGGGAGGTTGGAGGCTGGATTTTTAATGTTTTTAACATATAATAACATAGGCAAGTGCTTGGCAGGTTATAAGGATGGATGGAGGCTGGATTTTTTTTTTTTTTACATCATAATATCCAGACCAAATTTTAATAACTTGATCACATCTAAAGTCAGAAATCCTCCATTCAGAGGTCATCACTGAACACAGAGGAGAAATTCCACCTGCTTTGAACCTCCTCAATTTAGAATAATTTCATTTTACGTTTTTAGCATCATTATATCATTCACAATGATCAATATCTGATCATCCCGGTTACTGCAGAACATCTCCCAGACCCCATCTTTAATTCTACCTCCCGCACACACACTCCACATGCGCACATACACTACACACACACTACACATGCGCACATACACGCCACACACACTCCACACGCGCACATACAACACACTCCACATGCGCACATACACTGCACACACACACTCCACATGCGCACATACACTACACACACACATTTTAGTGTCACCCCCCTCTGATGGTGTCACCTTCTGTGGGCCGCACACACCCCCCTTGTGACGCCACTGCTTCTCCACTCACTTGTTCTCTTTTGCTTTTCACATTTTATTGAAGAGGCACCATCACACACTTTATTCTTTATGTATCTGTGCCTATTGAAGATTGTCCCGGCCTCTATTTGTATTTCTCTGTTAAAGCCAGTCTTAGGTCTGCTCTACTTTCCTTCCCTTCAGTGGTGTGGGCTCTCTTGCTCAGTCTTCTTTCAGGTTCAGCATCTTCACCATTTTAATTGGCTGGCCTGGAATGATGTAACTACTGCACGTGACACAATTGAACACAATTGAACTCATGGTAAGTATGTACACTGAGTTGTGCAAGCACGGAACATTGCTGGTAGGAAGAAGAGGAGCTTTACTGCAGAAGAAGAGTCTTGTCTACAATCAAACACTTCCTGCAAGCAATGATTAAGTGTTAGGCTATAGTTCCACACTAAGATAGCTTGTTGCGTGATGCAGCCAAAAATAATAATACTGTTATATGAGATAATAATCTACCTGACATCAGGATCCCTGAAGAATGCACAGCATCAATTCATGTGGTTTGGAGAAAACATGACTGAAACAATGAGGTTGTTCTACTAACAGTCCAGATCTTTCTTGTTGGAATATTTAACTTGTAAAAAAAAAAAAGCTCAAATTGAATTTTAAAAAAATATTGTTTGTCCAGTTTATTGCATATGTAGTTCAATTTTTGGAATATAAATGCACACTTTACCTTTTCTGAAAATAATCTTTTTCTAAACTGTGCAGCCATCACTTATATATCTGTTATATATCTGTTTGGGTATACAGTCGACCCCCGAAATTTGCGGGGGTTACGTTCCTAGAGCACCCGTGAATTGTGAAAAAACTTAAATGTTGAATGTGGTAAAAAAAAAAAAAAAATGCCTATAAATGCCTATTTTTATAGTTTAAACCTTAAATATGCCTCCAAAACACTTTCATTTCGAAATCAGCTTAATGTTTTACACTTACAAAGAAGAATGTTAAAGGTAAACCCGTATACTGTACAGTACTGCTATGTCTCTCGCAGTGCTAAAATGTAAAATACCGATGTTACCCCTATATGTAGTAGTTCAGCCTTCTCCTGGAGTGTCTTAAACTTCTTCTGGTGCTTAGGTTCATTGCTAGAAGCTTTAGAAGGTGCAGGGCGTTTGGGCGGCATCTTAGGGCTTTAAGAAGAGCAAAATGAAAAACATGAGAACACTCAGCGAAACACTCAAGCTACATGCGGTTGATATTTAAATCCGCAAACTCTGAACCGCGACTTCGCAAGGGTCGGGCCAGGGCATTCCTCCACCCCACAACTGAACATAAACAAAGGAGCTGATGCCATTTACCTTTTGTGGTCACATGGCTCTATTAGATAAATGTAATTGGCGTGAACGAGCCCTTACAGTCAAGTCAGACAATATCTAACATGTCTATTGGGTTGTCCTGCATTTGTCAACTGAGGGAATCATACAAGCTGGGTATCCAGTTTTTGAGGCTGAGATTTTGGAATGCATAGCTTTTTATGGGAATAGTTCTGGAGCCATAAGCAAAAGTAACATGTTAGGGGTTATCATATGGGTTGGAATAAGGTAAACCCTAACAAAAAAAACTCCTCTTATTTGCTCCCTTTTAGTCTTAAAAAAAACAAACCATTGAAAGCATTTTGTTCAACAAGTGCACAAAAATACCTGTTTATCCTGCCAGAAATCCATTGGGCTTGTAACTTCCTGTAGAGAGCTTACAGTGCTGAACTGAAATCTCAAACAATATAATCAGCCCTGTCTGAGGTCTGTCTGTGTCCTATTTTATGGAGAGGAGGAAAGGGTTAGGTGCCAGCACACCAAAAGACAAGTAAGCTGCAACATATCACAGTTTTGTTCTTGGGGAAAAGCCAGGACAGAAATATTAAAACTCCTTGCCTCTCTTATATCTATCAAAAGGGAAAAGAGATTTTCTTCTTTTTTTTGGGTGGGCTTTCTGCCACTATTTTCTTGGACAGTTCAGTGCATTGAGCAAGGCCTATATTTGAGTGCTCAGTCCTGGTAACACCTCACACAGCACATGATGATTCTCAGGCCCTGCCTAGCCTCTTAAAGAATATAGTACTAGTAAAAGAACTACTCTATGTTCTTTGACGGCTCTCTCCCATCCACTCTGTGTTCTCTGATGGCTCTCTCCCATCCACTCTGTGTTCTCCGACGGCTCTTTCCCGTCTACTCTGTGTTCTCCGACGGCTCTCTCCCGTCTACTCTGTGTTCTCCGACGGCTCTCTCCCGTCTACTCTGTGTTCTCCGACGGCTCTCTCCCGTCTACTCTGTGTTCTCCGACGGCTCTCTCCCGTCTACTCTGTGTTCTCCGACGGCTCTCTCCCGTCTAGTCTGTGTTCTCCGACGGCTCTCTCCCATCTACTCTGTTGAGCATTGAGCAAGGCCTATGAGCATTGAGCAAGGCCTATATTTGAGTGCTCAGTCCTGGTAACACCTCACACACCACATGATGATTCTCAGGCCCTGCCTAGCCTCTTAAAGAATATAGTACTAGTAAAAGAACTACTCTATGTTCTTTGACGGCTCTCTCCCATCCACTCTGTGTTCTCTGATGGCTCTCTCCCATCCACTCTGTGTTCTCCGACGTCTCCTCCCATCCGCTCTGTGTCCTCCGACGGCTCTCTCCCGTCTACTCTGTGTTCTCCGACGGCTCTCTCCCGTCTACTCTGTGTTCTCCGACGGCTCTCTCCCGTCTACTCTGTGTTCTCCGACGGCTCTCTCCCGTCTACTCTGTGTTCTCCGACGGCTCTCTCCCGTCTACTCTGTGTTCTCCGACGGCTCTCTCCCGTCTAGTGTAGAGGGTTGGAATGCCAGCATGGCTTTGGAGAAGGGAGCCATAACAACAGATCATGCCTAAATGGGGAGGGGGGTGCAATAAGATTGGGAGCCTCTCGGGGATGGTAGAGATGATAGAGCAGTAAACTTTATGCTGACATTTTTTTTCCCCTTCATTATGGCCAAGACTTGGAAAGCAACTACTTAAAAATAGTTGTGTTTGGAGTTCAGTTTTAACTTCCTCAAAATAACCCACATGGATCATTTTATTTGATGGAGAACAGTTGGAATTTCAAGAATATATTTTAATTGATATTGTGTATTGTTATAAAGGAGTCACCTTCTAGTTAAAAAAAAAAAAAAATTCAAACAAGCATTTTACCACAATCCCATTTTATTTATACCAGAGGCACTGAACATTATGGGGCATGGAGTGTAAATCCTCAATATGATTGTTTAAAACCATTTTACATATTTCTGTAATTACAGCAAATACACACACTAATCAGCACAATCGTATCTTTAAATTGATCCATATGTAGTGTAACAGTCAGGTAAGAACTTCTTGCTTGACAGATCCAGTTTGATTTCAATCACCTATGATCCCCACCTTAGCTGAACATAACTTACTTGATCAGCCACAAATACAACAGTCATAATTTTAACTTATCTTGCCCAGACACACAGTTGGGTCAGAATTTGAATCATATTCATGAATTTCCTAAAATAGACTAAATCGATTTCCATGGCAGAGAGAACTCATCATCATTACATAACCAATTGTTGGAATCACCAGCTTGTCAAGAGAAGCCACAAAAGGAGATTTGATACTATTCAAACTAACCTTATTTGTTGAAGTATTTAAAAGGAAGACCTGATCTTGATGCCCATGGCAACCAAATTCTTCCTCTCATCCTCCCATTGTGTATCATATGACTGAAAGGCATAATCTGAATGGGATTTAAAAACAAGCATACCTTCTCCTTTAGGCAATTTATTTAGTAAGGCCCACTGTGTTTCCGAGATCGGCTTAAAGCCATTCACAGATAGATGGGCTGACAATACCTTGTAAAGTATTTTCCAGACATTTGAATCTAAAAAGTTAAAATACTAAACAGAGAACGATATCCTTGAACTGTAAAGTCGTCCTGTAACTTGTGCTTTATTGTGCACATTTGTCCATAGGACATTGAGAATGCAGTGCCTCCCACAGTGAAGGAAAATCAGACAGAGGTTTTTGGTGGGGAGAGTGTGTTGTTCCTGTTAGTGGAGAAAATATAATACTTCTCTTCATCCGTTTCATTTTAGATCCAGGAGCATGGAAGATGGGTTCTCGAGGTAGGATTTCCAGAGATTAGAGAATCTGGACATGGTTGCTCCATCGATAATCCTGTGGTCCGCAGACCAGCTAATGTTGAGAATGTGAGCTTTTACCACCTGCCCTCTTGAGTCGAACCGTGGAACTACCTGTATGACAGGAGAGATCAGACAGCTAGTGACTGTTATGCAACATTTTAATGATGCAGATTATGTGACAATAAAATGCGATGACCTTTAGAAATAATTCCTTGCGTCATTCTGGTTACAGGATGCAACAGCAACACCAACACAGGAGTGCAATGTGAGACATGTAACTACATAAATAGAATGAAAATACATACACACACACACACACACACATATTGTAAATGTATGTAATAAATATTAAATATACAAAATAGAATGTTGAAATAGCTGAATACTAGGGATGCACCGGACACAGACAGGATAGATCCTGTCTGCGTCCGAGCACGGACACCCGCGCGGATGTGCAGCTCGGGTGAGCATACTGCCGCGTCCTCCCATAGGGAAGAACAGGCTGCTGTGAACAACCACACACAGCACCTGTACTTCCTGGGAATGGCCCGATACGGCCATGCATGCTGCACGGATCTGTGCGGCCCCACTCTACCTGGTGTGAATGAGGCCAAAGCATATTCACATGGCTAAGAGAATAAATAGGCAATACAGGGGTAAGTACATGATTCTTCAGTAATGGTATGGAACAATCAAATCCCTTAAAATATTTCACTGGTGGCCAAGAACCTTTTGCTTGGTAATAAGTTGTGTTTTTGACAAATAACCAACCTGCATTTTTCCAAACGCTCCAATAGCCACTTCTGGAGGTAATATTACAGGCTTGGCGTAGGTACCCCCAATCTACGAATTAAAACAAAATAGGTCAGTAAACTATGCAGATGTTTTTCCCAAGTGTTCTCACACACACTTTGCAAAGTTTACTTACAGAACCAATGTTGGATAGTGTAAAAGTTCCCCCTGTCAGCTCAGCAGCCCCCAGTTGCCCCGAGGAACCCAGGTTCTGTAGTCGGTTAAGTTCAGTAGCAATTTCAAATATACTTCGGACTTGTACATTCTTCACATTCGGGACAATCAGACCTTGGGGTGTATCCATAGCAATACCAATGTTGTGAGCAGCCTATAAAAGGTCAGGGGAAAAATGGTGAGACATGAGCTTAGAAACGGAGCAAAGCTTTTTTGTCTTAAAGTGTCATTCCCGCTGAAACAGATATTACACTTTTCAGCAGCTTTCATTACTCATTTAATTCTTAAAAGAAATATATCTTTGCACACACGCTGCCAAACCATCCACTACAAAAAAGTTTTATTGGAGCAGGAAAAAGGAGATTCCGTCTGTCGGGAAAGTGAGGGATTGAAGTGGACAATCTGGTCAGACAACCTGGCAAGGGAGTCCATGAGGGATATCACTAGGGTGGATTCAAACATGAGTTAACTTCAGTTTTGTTAATTTTTTTCTTCAGCGGTCCTCTTAAACAGTGACCCATGTATGTTTAAATGAAGAGTACAATTCTGCTCTGCACTGCTGACAATACAAACCTTATAGGTAATATTCTGACAATTTTCATCCAATGATGCGTTGAGGACTGGATACTGCAGTAAACCCAGACTGGCTGCCTGAAAAAGAAAAATATCAATGTAATGATAGCAACATCATAACAATGCCAGGGCAGTCTGTCAGCTTGTCTCTTGAAGCCCAACTCCAGCTTCAGTATAGAATAAAAATAGCGGTTCTAACAATAAAAAAGGAGCTCTGGCCACAATACTCACCTTCTTTTTAGCGTAGTTGCCCACAGACAATCAGTGATACAGCGCTGGTCCTCTTTCAGGTTGAATGACACCCAGTGTCATTCAACCCACTTAATGTGAGTGCAGGATGCCATTGTTCAGTGATGCAGAGAATGGCACTGATACCAGTCATCAAAGCAGAGAGCATTGCTGGCATGATGGCTGCTAAGGGTCGGAAAAGACAAAGAAGAAAAGTGTATAAAAAAAAAAAAAAAAGACTCCAAGAACAAGGTGGAGTTGGACTAAAAACTGGCTCAGCTTTGCTACATATACCTCCTGTGTATCTCTAGAACCCATAGATTTAAAGGGTAGCTCTATTTGGGTGATCAATGTACACTGCAAGTATTTAAACAAACTTTGTTTCTTTTCCGGTTTCTGAAGAAACAGCTGTTTGTTTCACCATGTCCTTTCCAAACTGATTCCTAAATGGGAAGGTCTGGGTTAGTGATAATGAGTGAGTGGACTTTCTGTGCTGTAATGAGGAATGGTGCAGTCATTAACCATTAGGGAGTTTTCTCACCAAAAATGAAAGTGACATTTCTGGGGGCGTTCTATACACAGACTGTGTGCAAAGCACCTCAAGGTTGCCATACTGCATTGCATTTTTTTAAATTGTTTTAAACAATTATAGTAGCTGCAGTTTTATATGAAAAGGTAGTTTTTATTGCTGCAATTTTATATGCTATATTTGTTTTTTTACGATTTTTTCCCCCCCTTTAATGTTCAGGCTGTATACAGGGTCTTGACTTTTGCCACACTCAACAGTTAGTCCCATTCCTCTCAGCACTAAGCACTCTGTCCACTGTTCATGGGTTTAAGCCCCAGACTTAAACCCTTGACTTTTTCCCATGCCAGCACCTAGCCCCATTTCTCTCAGCACTAAGTGCACTGTCCAGTGCCAAAGAAAATGTAGAATGTAACTGTTACATGGTGGCGGTGGGTTTTAATGCTGACTGGGGCAGAAGTCCAGGATCAGAATACAGTCTGCACATGGAATGCAAGGGGCTCCGCTGGGATTGTTTTGAAGATTAACACAGGTACTTGCAGGCATGACAAGTTGCTTCCACTTTAGGAGAAGTGTTTTAGAACCTGGCAGATTAGCTTTCAAAATCATCAGTTGGTCCTTCAATGGATTATCAGATAAGAATTAAGCGAAACACAGGGAAATATCCCCCTACCCTCAAATCCCATTTATCTCAAATAACTCCCAGATAATATACTGTATTTAATAGAACATACATAAAACCTAGATACATTCATATAGTCAATGAATGCTTAGAAATCCACTTGTAATATTCCTTCATCCTTTATGGCAATGCAGAAGGGTTATCCTTCTTGACAATATCCTGTAGGTGCAGTTAGTCCAAGCCAGTTTGATGGCACTCATATGGGCTTTATTCCATTGCCATAGACAGATCTACACTTCACACCTTTGCAGCAATTCTGGCATTATAGAGCATAAACCCTAATTTCTTACAAAAGGTGGGGACACCAATGGAGGAAAAAAACTTTACACACAGGAAGAGTTTTATGCAGCAAATTTTGCTTTGTTATCCCCAGTCTTGTACATCCTTTTTTAACCTTACCTTGATGAAGAAGGGCATGAATGACAGACGGACCCCTCGTGCTTCAGCTGCAGGCTTTAGGTCCTCTCTTATTTGGACAAGTTGTGTCATATCAATTTCATCACAGTACCCAAAATGAGGGATCTTTAATGCAGCAGACATTGTCTTCACCATGGCTTTATGGAACCCTAAATCAATAAAATGACATTTAAAAAAAATAAAACTTGAAGGAAATGGTGCACATTTCCAATGAACTGGGGAAAAAAAATATTTGGACCATTGTAAATAATCATATATTTTAGCTTGTACACAATCCTTTGTATGCTTTACACATAAATGGACTGCACAAGCACTCAGTAGATGAGAAATTTGGCATAGGATTTGCCTTTTTTAAAAGGTAACACGAGTACCTCTGCATAAGTTGTCTCTAACTTATATTTTTTGATACGCTGATGAGCCAAAATGACATGTACCCGTCGAAAATATTCAGAATGGTTTTCTTTGCTATAAACACATTCAGCTAAGCTATAGGCTGAAACTGCATGCTGCTTTCTAATCTTTCCTCCTGTGACACTAATGGTCTGCTGTTTTAGGCTATGGCAAACACAAGGTTTGGCTATAAAGTGTTGTAATCAAATTTACATCTATGGTAGCCTATTATGGGGCATATTTCAGCTGAAGATCATACATTAATAATCATGAATAAAACCATTGCATAGATCACTGAACTTAATGGTCACTTGAATGTTGCAGTACAAGATTGCCATTAATAAATAAGATAACAACCAACATGTTAACTTTTCTGTTTATCAGGACTGCGTTACCTTTCAATGGCTCCGTCACATCCTTCCCTGAGAATGTAATGGGCTTAGTGAAAGTCACAGGGATGCTAGGAGTCACCTCTTTCTGGGATGACTTGGGGATCTGTGCTCTAGGAAAAGGAGGTATGATTTCAATTTCTGGAGAAGGCGGTATTATGGCTCCTGTTTGTTTGGCCAGAAAGTTTAAAATGTCTTCTTTTAGGATACGTCCGTCCCGTCCAGTGCCCACTATTTCACTCAGTTTGATCTAAAACAAGATTAAAAACCACAGAGACATCAGAACATCGCAACCTTTATAATGTCTGTGAAGGTTCTCATTCATCCATCATCATTCAACCTTTATAATGTTCACCTTCTGCATAATTATTCTGTTTCTGTCAGAGAAGTACCTACTGACATTATAAAAAAATATTGGGTCCAAAAACAAAGAAAGCCTTAATCTCCCAGTACTCATACCTAAGCCATACTGCTTCAAGCATGCACATTTCCTCATCAAAACCAATGATATTGGTCACATTTTGCAATACATCCTGCAGGCTGATGCCCCTCAAAATGGTGGTGTCCAAAAGCTATCTACTTTACATTATTAAAAGTAGACGTCTAGCCAACACCTTTGTAGTGGAATTTTGTGGGGAAGGGTAAGATGTGCCGTCAGGTATTTTTACCAGGGATAGAAAATGAGGGGAAATGGCCAGCAATAAAATCACTTACTTTAGTATCAAAGGGGATGGTTAGAATTTCTGTCAGGTATTTGTTCCTGCAGACTTGGGGCAGCAAGTGAGGGGAATGTCCCTAATGGAGGCACAGAGAGCAGTAAAGAATTGACAGAGGTTCGAACCCCTCTCCGCACTCACAGGTTTATAATTTCTCTACTTTCACCATACCTGGGAATATGTAGAGGCAAAATCCGGAAACATGTGGAAACTGGGTGGGACCTTAGGTTGAAAGTAGGAGTTCCCACTAGAATTACTCTATGAACATTAAACAGCCATATAACACAGGTACCTTAATAAATGCATAGCACCATATTTGACTTTGCTCCAAGCTCCATTTGTCAAATAATCCGCATTTTGCTGTCTTAAATAGAATCCTTAAATACTAGGGGGGGCTGAACGACACCATGAGTTGCATGGTGTCGCTGGTAATAGCTGGCAGTTTCCAATGCCCAATGCTGGACAACCAGAGTGCGGACAGAACTCAAACATGGTGTATGCACTTATGAAGGTTCATGTGGTATATGGCTGCTTAAATGTTCATTAAGTGATTATGAAGAGAACTTCCACTTGAAAGCAGGTGTTAAAAAAAGGCACATTTAACCATGTCATGAAAGTTTACTTGGCCTAACATGATTTTTCACAGGGTAAGGTTCTTTAACGATTATTTATTGACAGTACATGCAGGCCAAGTACAAAGCAAATCGTGTTTTCAACATAGCATAGATGTATAGATTTCTGTACACAGCATAACAACATACATTGTTCTCCATGGCAAGGCGTCTGACAGCAGGAGTTGCTTGAGTCCTGTGTCCCTTTATTTCCTGGTGTGTATGTTCTTGCGATGCAGCAGCAGTCTCCACAACATCTTCTTCTGGGGCTCCATCTACAGAAAAAACCTGATCACTGACAAATATACAGGTGAAACTCGAATAATTAGAATATCGTGCAAAAGTAATTGCAGTAAGTGCTGCAAAAGGGGCCCAAACCAAGTACTGAGTACATATGCATGCTTGTACTTTTCAGAGGTCCGATATTGTTCTATGTACAATCCTTGTTTTATTGATTGCATGTAATAATCTACTTTTTTGAGGTTGTGGATTTGGGGTTCTTGGGGTTTTCATGAGCTGTAAGCCATAATCATCACAATTATGACAAATCACGGCTTGAATTATCTTGCTTTGCATGTAATGAGTCTATCTTATATATTAGTTTCACCTTTTAAGTTGCATTAGTGAAATAAATTAACTTTGCACAATATTCTAATTATTCGAGTTTCACCTGTATACATGAAAATAGGAGCAAGAACCAGCAAATCATCTTCTCCATGTGAAAGGGACTTGTCTTATCTTGTAAAACAAGTGTACAAACTTGTATTTCTTTTTTGTGCTGGATGGTGGATGCTGGAGACTTTAAATCTCACATTTTTTTGTGGTGATTTGTTTCGTGTGGTATGATCTCTTCACTTGTGTTCCCAGATCTGCCTATCAACTATGACATTAACAAGGAGATCCCACTCTCTTCACATGAATTTTTATTTTGTGAACACCCTAAACTTTCAAGTGGGCAGGAACATAACCAGACAGTAATGTTAGTAAGTCCTTTCTATTTTGTGTGTCTTTATATACAGTTTTTACCATATTTGATACAGACCACACTGTCAGCAAATGTGAACCATGGCAGGCTTCTGGACAAACTAAAACACTGCCAAGGGTGCTTACAATGGTCCCCTTTTATTTGAATGCAAAGTTGTCCACCAAAACATGAAGGAATGATCTGGAGAGTTCCACCTGCTAGCCTTACAAAACACTACTGCAACTGCTCCAGGACCCCTGGTAATAGAATAGTTTGCCCCTAGCACCTGTTACTTTCACTAGACAGCTTGGTCTGCAAGTAAATGTGGCTACAAAACTAAATCTATACTTACAATGAATGTCCCTGCAAATATATTTACAAAACATATGCAGAAACAAGTTTTTAAAATAGCAGAACTCCCTGATCAGATTTTATTCATTTTAAAAGGACCATTATCATAAAAAATATTGTAATCTCCTAATTATATGGGGTAAAAAAACAACCCTGTAAAGATAAAATATAAAATATGTATTTGAAAAAAGGAAATTATACAATCAAGATCATCATTACAAGCTCTATCTGCTGGTTACAAAATATGAATATATTATAAAAATATAAAAAAAATATTCAGATCATATAATATATAATAAAATAATTAAAATCGTGTATAGTGTACAGTGAGTAATCACAATATAGTGTTTTGTACATTTACTTTCAAGAAAGATCAGAAACAGCAGTCTACATACGTCTCTCATGACAGGTGCACTTTAAGCAGAGATAATGATCTTATTCCCGGTTATACAGGTGATCACTACAGGGAACATTTCCAAAGCTTAAAACATGCAAACATATAACACTGTCAAAAAACATTCCAAGATGTACTTAAAATGTTGGAATATTAATTCAAAATACACTATATTGCCAAAAGTATTGGGACGCCTGCCTTTACACGCACATGAACTTTAATGGCATACCAGTCTTGGTCCTTAGGGTTTAATATTGAGTTGGCCCGCCCTTTGCCGCTATAATAGTTTCAAGTCTTCTGGGAAGGCGTCCACAAGGTTTTGGAGTGTGTCTATGGGAATGTTTGACCATTCTTCCAGAAGCGCATTTGTGAGGTCAGCTACTGATGTTGGACGAGAAGGCCTAGCTCAGTCTTCGCTATAATTCATCCCAGAGGTGTTCTATCCAGTTGAGGTCAGGACTCTGTGCAGGCCAGTCAAGTTCCTCCACCCCAAACACGCTCATCCATATCTTTATGGACCTTGCTATGTGCACTGGTGCGCAGTCATGTTGGAACAGGAAGGGGCCATCCCCAAACTGTTCCCACAAAGTTGGGAGCATGAAATTGTCCAAAATGTCCTGGTATGTTGATGCCTTAAGAGATCCCTTCACTGGAACTTGTGGGGCCAAGCCCAACCCCTGAAAAACAACTCCACACCATAATCCCCCCTCCACCAAACTTTACACTTGGCACAATGCAGTCAGGCAAGTACCGTTCTCTTGGCAACCGCCAAACCCAGACACGTCCATCGGATTGCCAGACAGAGAAGTGTGATTCATCACTCCAGAGAACATGTCTCCACTTCTATAGAGTCCAATGGCGGCGTGCTTTACACCACTGCATCCAACGCTTTGCATTGCACTTGGTGATGTAAGGCTTGGGTGCAGCTGCTCGGCCATGGAAACCTATTCCATGAAGCTCTCTACACACTGTTGTTGTGCCAATCTGAAGGCCACATGAAGTTTGGAGGTCTGTAGCTATTGACTCTGCAGACAGTTGGCGACTTCTGCGCACAGTGCGCTTCAGCATGCGCTGACCCTGCTCTGGCATATTACGTGGCCAACCACTTAGTGGCTGAGTTGCTGCTGTTCCCAGTTGCTTCCACTTTGTTATAATACCACTGTTGACCGTGGAATATTTAGTAGCAAGGAAATGTCACGGATGGACTTATTGCACAGTTGGCAACATATCACGGTACCACGCTTGAATTCACTGAGCTCCTGAGAGCGACCCATTCTTTCACAAATGTTTGTAGAAGCAGTCTGCATATCTAGGTGCTTGATTTTATACACCTGTGGCCATGGAGGTGATTGGAACCCCTGAATCCAATGATTTGGAGGGGTGTCCCAATACTTTTAGCAATATAGTGTATGTGTTCACTGAACCTGCACTAAAGTTTTCACGTAAGGGTAATGTGGCATTTGTAGCCAGTGAAGAAAAGTGGTCAGATCTCTTGTTTTCGGTTGGTGAATTATTAAAAACTATTCCATCAGAATGACACCCAGGCAACTAGCATTTTCAAAAGGCAGTCATGGTGACAGCCTACATACTGCTCTTGGTAGGTTTGCTTTAAAGCAGAACTCTAGGCAAATCAAATCTCAACCTTTGCAATGGGGCTACCTCTGCAGTGCAAGGGTTAAATGCTCGTTTTGTCTAGGGAGCCAAAATAACAAAGTTATACTCACCTGAACCACGATCTCGGCTGGCTCCTACACCACTCCTTCCAGCCTGTCTCCTCCTCTGCTCCAGTGGTGGAATGTCCCTCGGCTACTGTGTATAGAACATGAGGACTCACCGGACTTTAGACTGCTGAGCGGAGGAGAGAGGCTGAAGGGACTGGTCTAAGAGCAAGCCGGGATCGTGGCTCAGGTGAGTAAAACTTTGTTATTTTGACTCCCTAGATAAAATAACTCCAATGCAAGGTTAAGATTTGATTTTCTTGGAGTTCTGCTATAAGTGACAACACAATATTTAGGGAATCAAAAACACATTCTTATCAGCATGCTTACATACCTTTAAGAACATCTTTTTCAATGTCAACCAGAGGCTTTCCAACCAATGCTGTGTCATCCACACTGTAATGCAACTTCCGAATAACCCCATCATAGCGGCTTGTGATTGTCACTGAAGCCTTGTCACTCTGTACTTCACAGATACTGTCAAACTGGGACACCGTGTCACCTACTTTCACATACCTGAGAGGACACATATTACAAGCAAAGAGTCAGATAATTCTGACAGTAAATAACACACACATACTATAATATATATATA